GTTCATTAGAAAAATAAATTTATCTATACAGCTTAGATGAATTGCATATACATTGTACATGTACTAGGCTATTGAGTCAGAGTAAATAGTTGAGGAGGTGACCCTCCTTCTAGATTCCGCAGGAATAACAGTTCTCCGTGCAGTAAAGTAGACAAGTGGCTGTTGTTACTTTGTTTAGCACTATTGTGTACAGGCCGGTTCATTGCACTTGAGAAGCTCACATTCCTTGTAAAATCTATTTCAATTGTACACTCTCAACGAAACGTGAATGAGCCTTACACAAGAACGAACATCGATCATTTCAATTATCTTTATATGTTGTACCTGACAGAGTTTAGACTATTCTGTACCTTCTGAATGATGTGACAAAAAGTTTGCAGCAGGATTTGTGAGGAGTGTCCTTGGTGAGCCATAATCTTAATGTATTTGTACACGTTAATGAATCAAGGACGTTCTGTGACATCGTACGAGTGAAAGTGTTGCTGGCAGGCACTGCCAAGAAACAAGAATAAAGAGACAATGTAACAACTGCATATTCAGTCTTGTTGCCTTTCCTGCTTTGTTATCCTTTGCAGTGTTTGCAATGTCATCTCGCCAATCATATCTTGTTGACGACACTGGAAAGAGTGAGTATCTGGGCGATGTAAATAGGTGCGCGGAAGCTGGCCCCTGACCTCTCTGATTCAGAGGGCAACTTCCGTTGTGTGGTCCAGGGATCATTGTATGTAAGCGGTGAGCGGTGGGACTCACTTCAACACATGCAAACAATTTGTACATCGCTATAGACATGGATCTCATCACCATTATGATCCATTACAGTCATAGTATTTATCACATGCAAAGGAAAGTTTTTAATGGCGAGCTGGCTATCCTGTCTCTAGGGAGGAGCTGTCTCGCACTGAGCGCCAAGTCCCGCTATCCAGGCATTAACGTGGCGTATCTCTTCCGCCAGCAGCCTCATGCCCAGCTTCTAGCTGTCCACCGGCGAACCAGAGAGCGGACCGACGCGACGCATGCATCAGTGAAGCAATATACATTTTTTTATTTACAATTCAACTTAGACGATACAAAACATGGTGGTGAGATACTGTAGCTTTAGCTAATTTTAAGCTCACCACCAAACATGCAAGAATACAATGAAAAAAGTACATGACAAGAAACAACAGAGAAAAGCAAATGGGTGGAAATGGGTCAATAAATAGTAAGGAGGAAAATGTTTTGTAGGCTATGTAGAAGTTAATCTAATACAGACCGTTTCAATAACGTAAGTTTGGGAAATTGTCAAAATGTTACAGTTTGTATGCCATGGGTGTAAATCGAGTGATCCTCTAAGTAGAATGTTACATACGAGTTGTTCAGACATATTATGTACATCAAAGATAGAGCCTACAAAATTCTGTACATTGCTGTCAGAGTAGGGTGACTCTTTGCTGATTATTTTTCATATTTCACCTCAACACATACTAGAGTGCAGATAATCGAAATATACGTAGTTTACGCCAATGTGATTTGTAATAAGTGAACCAAGACTCCATGAAGTGACGATAAAAGGAGCATGAAAAAAACACACATGGAGTAGATTGCGCTTCGATACATTTATCGCCTGGTACTGTGCGTCGCAGTTCAATGACCTCCGCAGTGGCGCTAATAAAAGAGGGCGTGAGAAGAGAACGACTCGGCAAAGTTAGGCTCATTTTCACATATTTTGTACTCCATACCCTGAAATTAACGATATCGAAATTCTGAACTTTGCTTGTGCACCCTGCTATAATTTTAGTGAGTCGAAGTGAGTCACTTTGGATCCCCATAAGGCGAAAACTGTGTTGTGCCACCTTGTCTATTTGGTAGCAGAACACAGTTTTCGTCCTATGGGGATTTCTATGGATCCCAAGATGACTCACTTAATCGAATATGTTTTAGAAGAAGGCACAAACTACAAAATATCTAGAAACCACCAAAATCCTGTCGGCGTATCTGCTCGTGACGTACACTTTGAAATCGCCGTCTACGGACGTGACCTGAACTGCAGCCGACTCACCCGGAAAGCCAGTTGCGTCATACGGCGCATTTATACACCAACTGCAAAACCTTCACAATTCAAATCATACAGTCTCAAACCCGATACATTCTTAAACCACGCAGCGCGATTTATATCTGGCTGACGCGCTTATCAGGCTTTCTACCCAGCCTTCAAGAATATTCACTGCACTACTTTCTATACCCGCGTCATATTATCGCCACTGTGTTCTGCTACCATATTTGGGTTATCAGGAATAATGGCTATCATGACCTCTTGACCTCTCCTCTCAGCGTTGACCAAAATACGACTGTGCACGACTATTTAACGATCGGGGTCGTAGAAAGATCGTTAAATGGTCGTAATATGGTCAATGGGACTTTATACATTCAGAATGGCAGTCGTGTTTCAGTCGTTGTAAGAGTCGTGATGAGGTCGTGCAAAATAAACGACTCGATCCAGACTTCTATACGCCCCAAGTCAGACCGATCAACGACCTGCCCGTGCACTGTGATGGTGCTATTCGATATGGCCCAGGTTTTCTATATCTCAAGACTAGACCTGTACTCTAGACTACTTCTGCAAACACTCAAAAAGTCCCATCTGCACATGTGTACTCACCTAATAGTTAACTAGCTAAGAATATGGGGATAAAGTAACAAGAAGATCACACTTCTGCACAACTGGGTCTTACCTGAGGTCACTACTGCACTGCAAGAAGTTCTGGAGGTCGTGGTGAGGTCAAAGTCCCTCGAGCGCAGAGCATGCTGGGACCTAACGTTGGGCCGGCTGCAGTCACCGTGGATTCCGCTGGGGGTCGCCTTAAGCCTAGCAAAGGGTTCAAGTACATCAGAAGAAGTATAATGCCCTCCTTGGTTTGCCGACCCAAAATTTGATACTTACGCTAGTATCAACAGGTGTTTGTCTCCAGGAAAAGTTGCACTGCACGGAATTTGCGCAAAAAAAACTACATAATGCAGCTTTAAACGTTTTGGGCGCTCTTCAAATCTTTACTCGTGCACGTGCTTGAATATCTGATTTCGAGCAGTGATGGTTTAATACAACAACAGTTCATAAGAACTCAGGCTATCAAGCTATGCATTATAGCCTCATAACGCGTGTCACAGTTTCTCACGACGTTCGATAAGCCTGTCACGATACATTTATTACCTCTTTAATCAGTTTATTGCTTTATTCAATTACCGTTATATATTATCTCTGACCATTTCATAAAACGTTGCTGTATGGCGTCATGAATTATTCAATTTCGTAAACCACATAGTTATTATAACAAGATTTAGTGACCTCAAAGAACAGAAATATGACACATTCAATTTATATGACAAGTCATTTAATATTAATGGTAAGGTACCTCTCTTTCTGCTTACATTATCACCGTTGTAAAGGCTTCTAGTTTTCACATTTTATTCTAATTTTTTATGTCGTTTTTCCGTGTTTAAATTCCATTTCTAAGTCATCCATTAATTCCATTCGTCACTTTTCATTTAGTTCAGCCGCGCTTCACGTTCCACCTATCTTACCAAACACGCCCCTCCCACAAACACTGGCCCGGTACACGTTATCCAATCGCGCCGCCCGTTCTACTAGTGGAGCACATAATCCATAACAGACCTCCCAGGAGACATATGCCCACTGCCCAGTATATACCAGTACGTTTTCCGTCAGCACCTAATGCTATATATGCACAGCCCCTTCGTCAAAAGCACATCCCAATCTCCCGCTATCGACTTACTGTTAAAACCATCCCTTTCAATTTCAATTTCCCGAGTTGGTGCGTTCTCCCTGACCCGTTCATTTTAATTCTGCGCGCTGCCCGGCGTATCACCGACTAACGCACGGGATTCCGCAATCATCCGGACCGATAGCAGCGGGTATTAGGGCCTTAAGAAGGGCCTATACCTCAAAATGGAAGATTGCGTTTGGCTCCTCAATATTGATCCTCAGTGACGACAAATAACGCACTTTGGAGGACAAATTTCCAGGCAGGCTGCACGAGATTAAAAGCGTAATTCCATCCCATCCTTGTCCAATTTCTATTTTTTAATGGCATTTTATTATCATCATTATTGATTGTACAATTTTTCCCGACATGTAGCTCCGGCCAGCCGCGATAAAACAGCACCTATCAAACAAGTTTATGGCAGGACAAAAGCCGTTTTGTTCTTCGATAACATATTCTGTTTCCTTTGCTTTATCGTAAGCCTTTGTGTTACATCGATTTCGTTGGTTAAGTTGCGTATTGATTTACCATGGTTTTAAGAGGCTACTTATATGAAGTTGAAGTCCGCTCCGTGTTGAGTATCTTAAGTTCAGCCTCTGGGCTGCCAGCCTCATGTTTATCCATAAACTGTGTTCTACTACATCAAAAATATGAAGTAAGTTTTAATTACGGTCTTCTTGGATATTAATATCGACCGGTTGACCGTGCATGTTTAGATTAATAACGCAGGTCTACAGATTATGAACTGTGCTAATGAAGGATTTGCGTTCATCCGAGAAAATACATGTGAAGCACGCACTGCCAGTGACACACTGATAATCTTTCAGAGCTATGATGCCTGGTTTGGTATTTTTCATGATTACAAAATTAGTCAGAGAGTCTACCGCTCAGGATAAACTAAGTCATCTGTCAGGAACTATACTAATATCATATATCTAAAAGACTACCTCGTAATGTAAAATAATAAAAAAAATGCTCGAAAATTAAACGTTGCTATGTCTGTAACACAGACTATATATGTTTACGCTTCATATTCAACACCTACTAGAAAATCTTCCAATAAGTGCGCGTGATTTTGCTGTTGATTTATTAACAATTTGGGTGTTGATTTATCAACACCGAGTAAGTCTCCTTGCATTAGCATATAGGCCTAGGCAAGCACGGTAGAGGTGGATTCAGTCACCCTTCCCTTCCTCCTTGGTTTAGTCAAGCCTCCCCTCACAGGTAGCGTCTTCAGTATCAGTGTTGTACCATCAGAGGAAAGTGTATACAGTCGGGCGATGTGCGGGCGGTAAGTCCACACAGCAACTGGAGCTGCAGTGAAGCGGCGCAGCTAGCGTATCCAGGTCTGCAGCTAGCCGCGGAGAGGGGCCCTCTCACAAGGGTTTTCCTGCACCGCCCGGTCCAGAGGCGCGCAGGCGGTAGGATTGGACGTGGATTTCCCGGCGAGATTTGGGTCTCATCGGGGGATATTCCACATCATCCCTACAGAGTAAGAAGACTTCTAATGAAGCCGTTGTAAGAATTACGGCTTTCGCGACCCGCACAACAAGAGGCTGGCGCTTCGTGTGGAAAATTTATGTATCCTCGCACGCCCCTTCTCCTTCCTGAGCCAAGAGAAATCCTAAGACGCTGCGGACTGCACCTGCTAGTCTCAGACGTACCAGCAGAGGTTTAAGACGTTTCCCCTAAGATCTGCGTATCTTCAAATCCCGCAGGTGAGTTCTATGGTGTGATGGAATGATGTTGTGAGGGGAGGGGGGCGTGTCTCTTTCATTTCACCTTCACCTGAATCAGGGAACGTCCTTGAGGGAACATTATAAGCCTGTTGGGTTAATCCTACTCTCAAACGTGTTTTTTATGTGCGCCTCTTTTTTTATTTCAATGGAAAATCACATGAAGCAAGAAAAGTGCTGCATTTGAGCTATTCTTGGAACAATATACCGTAAATATTACGCCCCTTCTATTTCACGAAAAGGGAGGGTGGGCTAGGTGTGCTGTGTATATTTTAGAGGATATCTGTATATCTCTCTAGATCCTAAGTCGTAGTAAACGTTACATGACGCAGTGCTGTTATTTGGGAAGGGCCTAGCCATCGCCGTGAGTCAGTGCACAGGAGACATCAGGAAAATCAATACATATGGCGAGCGCGTACGTGTGGCTTCTCTAGACAATGCCGGCATTGTAAAAACGCCAGCGAGCACACGGTCTGAATACAGAATAAGGGCCTGTAGTTTACTGTAGCTCCGAGGCGAGGTGGCAGCAGCAGTGCGTTCAGCCATTCCTGTCTGAGATGCCGCCGTGCTGTGCGCTAAACCGAACCAAAACAGGTTAGTTTGCCAACTGCCGCGCGACTGCGATACTTAGATCCCTTTGATCAATTTGCCGCACTTTGTTACGTCTTATTAATTTCCATTCATCCAGCCGGCCATTTTATATACCCCTGTAAATGTCACCGCTCTATCTCAACCTCACATCGTCGTAAAATCTCGACGTCCTTGAGTTTGATTTATGCGTTCTCGGTGGAGGAGGTTTGATGTTTGCTGCGAATAACAAATACAGAGACGCTGAAATCAGGCGCTGGGATCGGATGTAGTCTTCCTGTTTTGTGTGAAAATATTCAAGTGTACTCAGCGTTTCGCACAAGGGCTTCTCTGTGCCTCCACTTCCTTTCCGATACGTGACGAGATTTCTCTCTTCATCTAGAGTGAACATCCGAATCGTCTGCCTTTCTAATCTTCAGATACATCTTCTATCATCGTATGTGTAATATATCATACTCAGTGTAAAAAGAGAAAATTGTGGGTAGTTTGCAGTTACTAATATATTAGAAACCCTACTGTTTATTGGAGTTGTGTGTGCTGTGGGATGCAGTAGAGGGGGTATTGAGTATTGTGTATATGTTGAGGTTAATGCATTAGTGACCCTGACGCACCGATATCTAACGGTCGCCCTGTACTAGAGGATTCGGACAAACCAAGCTAGCCGACCGCAGGGGTGTGAACAAAAATGTATACACGACAGGTACAGCAATAATATCGCATGAATTTGTTTGTTTGAAAACACAATGATGCAATTTTTGTACAATATTTATCAATGATCTTTCAGTCGAATAAACATACATTCATTCATTTTGACAGTTGAATATAGGTGATGATAACATGTATTGTTATTCTACTTAATAGAATTTTGACTGACCAATAGCTGTAGATGTAGTCATTTTATGTTTGTTTTAGAGAACAAAATGTATGCGTTTTGTAATTTTGATACATCGGTACTTATTTGATTGTATTTATTTATTTCATACATATGTAAAGTATTATTTTTTTATTTCAAAATTGATTTATCTGCAAATAATAAAAATTACAGTTTTGTCTCAACAAAAACAAACAAACCCATGGCTACCCTCACATATCGATCTGACGTGGCCTGAGAGTTGATTAGTTCTGTCCGTTCACCTTGACAATAACCCCGCCCGGCCGCACAACTCAATAACAGTTTTACCACCGCTGACGCCACGTCCTTTATGGTCTGTAAGGCCACTGCAAGTCAATTTTATGGATGACATCCTCCGCAGACTCCAAATCCCATGCGATAGGAGGAAAAAAAACAAGGCAGGCCAAAAAACAAGACTCCTACATCTTTAAATTTTGACATCATAAACCTTGTTAAGCAAGAAATGATACCCATATTGTGCTAAGTTTACTGACAAATATTGCAGCATCCATTGTCACTGAAAAATAAAAAAAAAACAACTTTCAAATCCATGGTACAAATGGCTTTGATTCAGTGAGAATATACAAAATGAATAAAATACTCGTACATCACTGTATCAAAGTAAAAATCAGAGCCTTGTCTTGTCTCCTTCAAATTTATCTGCCATCAACGTTCCGGCATGTTGACCACTGTCAAGGGGCAGCAGACTTTCCTTCTTTTTTTCCCAAAATCAGGCGAAAATCAATGCGCACGCTGATGTCATCCATAAGAATTCCTTGCTGTGGCCTTATGGCCTGTAATAATGGCCGACCATCTCGCGCGCTCCGCGGCGTTTTGGTTTATTGCGGAAGAGATATTGGCAGAGACGGTATATTTTATTGATGGGAGGGGTGCACGCGGCACTATCAGTGATGATGAAAGTGCATTAGATTAATTTGTTCCCTGTCAGCGTCTGGATGTAGCTCGTTAGTTATCTGATGGAATGACGTGATTTTGATCGATCCGAGAAGAACGCCCACTTCTGAGGCTACAAGACTTACGAATAATCTACTCTCCAAGCAGAGGTTTGGGTTTTTTTGGACGTGTTTTTTTTTTTAAATTCTTTATCGGGGTTTCTTTTCTGCACTGGAATTTTTTTGAAAAACTTTTTGGGTGTTGGGTGACAAAAAAATCCATTGCAAAAAAGAAACCCCTATGAAAACCTAAAAACACGCCAAAAATAACCCCAAACCCAAACCTCTGCTTGGAGAGTACAAACAATCGCGCACAGAGACTAGGAAAGAGTGTACTACTTATTACTATTAGCCTGGATGCTAGATTTTTCTCACCGTCTATATACAGGCCAGCCCTCACGTTAAGACCATGAATTGCTCACTCCGATCTATAACCGACGGGGTCTGTAGTAACACGTTGGCCCTGGGGCCGAGGAGCTAGCCTGTAGACTGACCATGGAAACAGTCTGGTACCCAGCCTAACTACTTATGTTGTTTCTAGTGCTACTTGTCTATGCTTTTGGACTTGAATTATACGTTCAACATCATGATGAGGACTGATATCAATGATCAATTTCTGAACAGCAAAAGAAAAATATCGTGGCTAACAGCTGTGCCCTGTACGCATATGTAAAATATTTTTCTTTTTTCATTGTTGCTGTTGTTGGGTGATGGGTTACTGCAGTCTGTTATTGAAATATTCAGTGAAAGAACCAAAATAAACACCAGTAGTTGTGGTCAAAACATCGCGATGAATGGCATTAGAATTTTGTTATGCGGCAGAGAAAGATAGATGACGAAATTATAATTTCTCACTATCAGCTAGCTATATGAGTATTATTGATAAAGAAGCAATTCAATAATGTATTTATGCACTTGTTTCACCTGTGCAGGTAAGAGTGACAACAGACCGTCACATACCAGAGACCAGCCGAAAGCCTCCAGGCGGGGCTCGTGTTTTGAAGAAAGTACAGAGACGATCCGCCCACAACAAACACTGACGTTCCACTTGACCTAAGATGGAAAATGTGGCCCAATGCGCTTCAGGGGAAGACAAGGAGTCTTCAGAACCGGGGAGGGACGAAATCATCATAGTCATCACTGAAGCCGAGAAAAGAGTCGACAGCGACGAAGAAGAAGAAGAAAATACACAAGATGATCAAAAGGAGGTGAAGCCCCTCGAAGATGAGGTTAAAGAAAGGCAAACTGAAGACGCTGAAGTAGATAACCCCGCTGAAGACGCGCTCACCGGACCTGAAACTGTGCCTAACGCTGAAGGATCAACAACGGAAGCCAGCCTCGAACAGACACAAGCAAACAGTGAACAAAACACCGGCCAAACAGAGCCAATCTCCGAGTTAATTGAAGAAGAAAGCGATCAGGTTGACTGGGAAGAGGGCGAAGACAAAACGGACATTCCTCGGGTCATCTGCGTGGATTACATTCGCGCCAAAAGCCTGGAGGAGGACGAGGAGACTCCTGACTACGGATACACCTTAGAGACAGTTGCGGAGGACACGCTAGAGGGAAGCGACAAAGATGAGGAGGCAGGCGACGATGATGACGATGAAATCCCGGTCTCCCTGGTGGACTGGGACGGGCCGATACAGGAGGAACTGGACGGGACTGAACTGGCCGACTCCGAGTTCGAGTTCACCCGATGGAGCGGGGAAGAAGCCAATAACATAGAAGCAACATTCACCTGCAAAACTGCAGAAGACGATCAAAAACAACACCAAGACGACCCTGACCAAATTAAAGGCAGCAATGAACAAGAATTGAAGATGGTTGACCGAGCAATAGCGGGTCTAGAGACTGCAGAGGAGTATATCGAACAGGAAACGACCTTTGACCCTGAGAAGGGACAGGTGGTCGATCCGACACAAGCAGACGTGAGGGTGATCCTAACAACCGCCGAGCTCGTTGAAGTTGACGAAAACCTGGAAGAAGATGGCACTGAAGTCAGCAACGAGGATGAACCTTTCGGACAGTCGTATGATACTTGGAAGCGATCAGATAAGACTGACAGAGATACGAAAACCGGTACAGATGAAGTGGAGACAGAGAGTAAAGATATACCGGAGTGTAGATGGGAAGAAATGGCGGGAAAAGATGAGGCCGACCAAGCTGAAGTAAACCAGGAGGCATCATGGGAAGACGTGGTGATCATCGTTTCCACGGTGGAAGAGGTCGAACCGACCCTGACGGTGAAAGACGCAGACTGGGCCGAAACGACCCCAGATCAACCACAGGAGGAGACGGAAGAGTATGAAGATGAAGAAACGACAGGGTTTGACGAAAGGGAAGTAGAGTTAGACATGGCAAAGGAAGAAGTCTTAATCCAAGAGAAGACTGAAGAAACTTGTGACGTGGAATCCGGCATCGAGCAAAGAATAAAAGACTCAGAGAAAATGGTTGAGGAGGAAATAGCAAATCAGAATGACACACGTGAAAGTGTCGAAGAAGTGAAGGCATTTTCCCCGGCTGGGGAGATTGGTGCAGTTAAAACGGACACAGACTTGGAGAAAACACGTCAAGATCTGGAAATACTCGTATGTAGGGCTGAACGGGCTGTACCAGACTTAGAGAAAGCGAGACGAGCTATGGAACAGGAGAAACTGAGGGGAGATGAGTTAAACACAGAACTGAAGCTGATCAAAGAAGAGTTGACGCGAGAAAAGACCCGGGCACAGGAAGAGAAGGAGAGAGCCGACCGCGCAGAAGCCAAGTTCGATGAAGCCAGGAAAAACATGGAGGAGGAAAAGGCGAAAACCGACCTCTTGCGGCTGAACCTGGAACAGCAGAAGAGCAAAGCTGACCGCGTGGAGACAGACCTGAAGAAGATCCAGAAAACCGTGGAAACGGAGAAAGCTCGCTCCCAGGGTAAGAAGCGTATCGAGACGGAAGCGCTAGAGCAGGCCCGCAGAGATATCGAGTACGAAAAAATCCGAGCGGAAAACGCGGAAGCCGAGATGAAGAAAGCCCAGCGAGAGTTGGAGACGATAGAAGAGAGGTACTTGGGGCAGAGACGCATCGAAGCCGAAACCGTTCTAAAGGCACGCCGAGACGCCGAGTACGAAAAAGCCCGCGCAAACCGCCTGCGTTTGGAGCTGAGGACACTGAAGGAGAACAAGAGCGCGGGAAAAGACAACGAGAAAGACAGCCAGACACAGCAACTTCAGTCCGAGTTAGAGAACATGCGTAGTGAGAGAGATAAAGAAAAAGCCAGAGCAGACCGCTTGGAAGCTGACATGAGTCGGGCCAAGGAAGACACAGAAGACGACGCCTCAAATTCAACAAAGTTCGAGCAAACTCTGAAAGCGATGAAACAGGAGAAAGCCAGGGCGGACAGAGCCGAAACGTACTTCCAACAGGCGAGGAGAGAGTGCGAACAAGAAAAAGTCCGCGCACAGTTGGAGAAAAGACGGGCTGACCGCGCAGAGGCGAGCGTTGAACAAAAACAAAAGCACGTGGAACAAGAAAAGACCAGAGCCAGCCGTGTCATAGCAGAGCTAAAAGAGACCCAGAAACAGCTAGCTCAAGAGAAACTTCGCTGCCAACAAGAGACAATGACACCTGGTCACACAGTGACCCGACATATTTCCGAAGAAACAAATGCGAATACCACAACAGAGACCGAAGTACAGAAACTACGCGAGCAACTAGAGCGAGAAAGGGCCAGAGCTGATCGTGCCGAAGAAGAAGCAAATGAACTGAGAGAAGCGACCACGGAACACATTTCTCTGACAGAAGCCGACAAGTTGAAGCTGTACGTAACGGAAGCAGAGACTGAGCTGGAGAGAGCGCGTCTGGAGGTAGAACAGGAGCGGGCTAGAACCGAACTCATGAAGGAGGAACTGGAGAAGACAGTGAAAGACTTTAAGATGGAGAAACTTCGCGTACAGGAGGAGAAAATCAGGGCCGACCTGGCCGAGGCGGAACTGAGTAAAATTCGCGAGAAAGAGTCCCGGGTGACGTTTCGCCAGGAGTTGGAGAAGGTTTGGGACGAAACCAAAGCTAAAGCTAAAGTCGAGGCCAGACTTAGTCAGACTGATCTCCATCTGCAACTAGACTCTACCACGTGGGACGGATATAAACTAGAGACAAGCTTTTAAATCCTTCAGAATAACTTAGAGCCTTCCAGTTATTCATATACCAGATATCTATCAATGACAGTATAAAATATTAATTGATAATCAGCCTACAAATCCAACTAAAATTATCATAATAATGAGAATGAATAAATGTAGAGAAAGAATTTTAAATGTTGAAAAAACGTAACGAGAAGTTTACTCATATAAAGTTAGCAATAAGATGAGGCAGTGCCAGCAGTGAATATTTTGTCAGTACCATAGTTAAAGTTAGCACGTATTCTATATAAAACTGTACAGTAGCCAACCTGTTACTTGCCATAATAGCTAAGACTCAAATGAAGCTATAAGAGACCCTACAAGTCTTAGAAAGAATGTTGAACCATCAATGAATGTTGTCCGCCATCTTAGTTTTGTGCACACGCAATGCATCATGGGATGGGACAACTTTTAGTCTCTTTCAGACTTTATGTGGAGAATATGTAAGAAATGTGGTGAACAGATCTAGACTTACTCAGACGTACGGGCTAGTCTCCGACCAGGCTCCGTGAAGGTGCCACAGAAAACGCCAAGCCAGAAAAACGCCATGATTGTCGTCTAACCATCCTTGAGCCAGTGTATTTAAATTGTTTGAATTTGGATTTATATATATGATAGTATCAAAGTAGTCTCTCTCTACACACACACATATATATATATAACAGGGTAAGGTATTTTGTTTTTTGTAGCACAATGACCACGATCGACCATCCTCTCTATCTGAACAATATATGAGCAATAAGACGGTACTATATGTAATACACATATACACAGAGTACATAGGAGGACTAGTTCATGGTTCATTGATAGCACTATTTACTCGACACATTTTGTTTGTCTTATGATATTGTATATGGATCAAGTAATAACACAGAGGTAACAGATCAAGGTCTATCTTATATATAGAGAGACAAGTATAATTGTAACCGTTTGTGGTCGAAAAGTAAATATAGAAGTAGTAGTAAGGGTACTTATAATTCCACTACTACTACCACTACAACAACTAAAGGTTGGTCATACAAAGAGTATTTGAAGTTATTATGTCTATCATAGAAGCAGGAAAGTAGGATATTGAGAAAATGATGATTGCCTATGATAAATAAGCATGTGTTGCAAGATGTGTTAATGAATTGTTTAGGTGCCAAGTATGAAAACAATTGCGATGTATTTGTCTCTATATATAGTCCGCTATTTTATCTTAATATCTTACCGTTACAGTACTAATATGCCAAATGTTTCAGTGCTAGATACCATATTGTATGTGGTGAAATTCTCTATCAAGAAGCCTTAACTATGACTAAACATGCCTCAGTGTGTTGTTGTTGTAATTATATCTTGTCCGAAAAAAAGTGAGAAATAAGAGGGAGTGAAAACAGTAACTCAAACTGATATAACAAAATACAAATATACACTAGTAATCATTTTATCATAGCTTTATTAATATGTACTTATCTGATACAAAGATACACTAGTAATCATTTTATCAAAGCTTTATCAATATGTAGTTACGAGTATGTGATACAAAGAGAAACTAGTAATCGTTTTATCAAATCTTTATTAATGTGTAAATATCTAATACAAGGAGACACTAATGATCATTTTATCAAATTTTTATTAATATATAATTATCTAATACAAAGAGACACTAGCTTATAATCATTTTATCAAAGCTCTATCAATATATAGTTACTCTTATCTATAACAAAGGGCCCAAGTTTACCGTCCATGACGGGTACGCCGGGCCCTTGTAATCTCATATAGTGTTCTTTCTCATTTTATCTGATACCAATTATTATTGTTATCATTGTAGCATCATATTCATACACCACCCTACTTCTTTGTCATTAATTTATTACGTATTTGTTTGATCATTCTTATGCATTATTTCCATGTACATGATTTAATCTAAATTATCGATTACATTCTTCTTGTTAAATTTAGAGGGGGAGGGCCTCGTACAAGCACTCCATGCTTCTGCCCTCCTCCTGCACCTATTTTAACTTCATTCTTGTATTATTGCATTATGTTTTTGTTTTTGTTTCAATGTGCAAATAAATAAAATCAAAATAAAAAATTAAAAAAAAATCTTGTTAGGAGACAGCTTCGTGTATCATGACTCCAAATTCCCGCAACAACAGATCTCTTGGTCCAGTACAAGCTTCAACATTATTCTGATCAGTTATAGATTTCTTGAAAACGTTTACATTTCAGGCATGCATCACGGAGTATGCTTGTCTCAAAATGTGTCAGTTGAATCCAGCTCCTGTTCAGAACTTCAGATATCTGAGGTGAAAGCCTTTGTATTGTAACAGGCCAGAGATCTGTCATATAGACATGTATGTCGAACAAAAAATGGAATTATGATACCCCGCTGCCGCTCCCTTATCCTATCCACAATGATATCCACCTGTCACAACAGGCGTGAACTATCAATGGTTAAGGTATTCCAAGGAACGTTCTCCTTTTGGGTTTTGACACCTTGAACCTCCGTTCGTGAACTTCGAAACAAAAGCCATCAATTCAGTTTTGAGTAACCTGTCACTATATATGTCTTATACAACAGAACATAGTGACATGCAACACCCGAAATGACTTTCGAAGGTACAAGGTACAGGTACAAGTTTTTACTGCTAGCCGTACCGAAGTGGTCAGGTTTGCAGCCGTCCTGAGAGCTAGGGTAGCACTGAAAAGTCAGTCGTTACCTTTCTCTACAGGACTAATGTTTATTTAAGCTACAACATAAGCACGTGTTCCCTTTTTGGAAGCATGTGTGTCAGTTTGCAGCCGGCGTCCTTTGAAGAAGGATGCCCTACTCAGAAGAGGATTGAAAAACATGAACACCAGGTTGGCTCTCATGTCCAGTAACCTTTGTCAATCTACAAATCTCAATAGGGTAGCCTCGTTTCTAGAGGACTGAAATTCAACTTTTGCAGCGCACATATGTACACATATGCGTCAGCATGCAGCCGTCTTTGATAATGACCTATAGAAAGGTCAGAAAGAACTAGCTCTCCCAATCGCCTTTGCCAGGAAGATTACCAAACCCACAGGATAACTTTGAGCTTTGTTTCATCATGTGAGCTTTGACACAAAGACCCTTGTGATGTAATGGCATCATACATGGCAGATTCGAGGGGACGTTAGCTCTTTCAAAAATATACTCGGCACAAAAAGTTCAATTGGGTCGATCATCTTTCAGTTATTTCTTAGCATATCAATATTGCGTGTCCCTTACCCTTTGCCATTACCATGTATTTGTTAGGCAAAACAGGGGCCAATTTTGCGAGCGAGGGTGGATAGCAAGATGTGTCTGAACTTTTTGTGCCGAGTACCTGACCTGACACATTGGTGACAGGTGTCATAGTGTTGGTAATGGCATATACAAAGAAAGCTTGAGTGTGTTGATGTGCTGAATTGGCCGTTGTGATAACTGGGAACAAGTACAGATACCTTTAAATGCAAAACCGATCCAGTTCGTGTTCATATGAATACTGTTAACCATTGACGATACCTTCCACCTAAAGAACTGGTCCCCAAGTGGAAGGTAGAGCTGTCGTGTCGGATATCATGGTGGATAGGGGTCACCTTTGTTATTTCAAGGTTTCATCTGTACCGATCTGCTTTACAAAACCAAGAGGTTGCTGAGTTTGACCTCCATCCTTTTTGTTTCTCTTTATTTCTTCAATCACGGACTGGATCAACTTTGAATCACTTCCAACGAAACTTTCGGTCAACCCTGACGGCAAGAACAAAATGACCATCGGGCTTCTCTCGGCTGTTAGATTTTCAATCAGATCTGACCTACCGATGCTCTCAAGGGCTTTTACAAGTTCACATACAGTAAAACCACTCCCTTTGTGTTCCTTACATTTGCGCAGACCTTGGTAGAGCCTTTCGCGACTCCCCTCGTGCTTGCAGTCGTCGAATACCTGGTCGATGGTGGGGTCCTTGAGGCCCAGTTCACGCAGCAGGCGCCTCGACTGGCGTGGGGAAACATGCTCAGCCACGTAGTCCAGTTGCTTTTCTGTGACGGTATTATCCATTGGAGCTGAAGAAAAGATTGAAGCTGTAGGTATAGCGTACACAACAACTTTCCATTTGGAGTAAAATTGTAAAGTAGCATTTTCTCATTTACTACTTTGCAAATAAAGGACGCGTCAATGTGTTATCCATTGGAGCTGAAGTTCTGATTTAAGCTATAGCTACAGTGTACACAACATAAACATTCAACTTTCCATTTGTACAATGTAGTTAAACATTTACTTTGCAAAGGACGCGCCACTGTTTTATCCATTGGAGCTGAAGTAAAAAATAAAGCTATAGATACAGTGGACACAACAACTTTCCACTTCTGGAGTTAAACTGCAAAGAATATTAGTAGTAGCATTTCTTCATTTACTGGCGCCTACATACGCGTCCTGTTTAAAATCCTACTTTCAAGTTGGATGCGTTTAAACTCGCCCCTCCACCATCGCCAAATAAGGCAGGGTTGGTATGATTGCCCGGGGCAAACTGTTTGCGACACCGACAGTCAACTTTCAATGGACATGTCTGAGTTGCGTTACGGTTCATCGCCGCCAATTAGCCAGTACTAGTAAGTCATAGATTTAAGTCATGTATGTACCCGCTGCGCTGGTCTCTCATCAAAATAAGAACATACCAATGAAGCAAAAACTGCTCACCTGTTCTGTTGGATTGTATCGGGTATGTGACGTGTCGGGTGGGACAGGTACAAAACAGACTTGATTGTTGTCAGCAAACGGCAGAACTGTACGTAACCAAGGCTCTAGCAGACTGGGATGGGATGCAAGAGTACCTGAAAAGTATGGAAAAATATGAAAACAACTGAATTTAGATACTATGCAGCGACGCAACGAAAGTGCAATTGAGGAAGAATACGTTATTTCTTAGCAAAATTTTAAAAATCTTTCCCTCCCTTACCGTAGAATCAGTCCAGGTCGACCTTCTCGGCTGTCCTGTCTATGGGGGACAAAAACTTTGGGTGTGTGGCCACCCTGATATACCGTACGGTGTATCTTATTGGATGGAATGTCTCACCTGATCGGCTTGGACCAACCACGACAGGACACATGAGCAGTTAGTCAGAAAAATCCCCTTGCCAAATATACAGGTTGGACTTCCCAGGGAATCAAGTACTATTACAAAGACGTAGTGACAGTGGGTCTTTCAAGATTGCCTGTATGCGTAACGCTAAATGTGCCTGCATTCCTGGCTACTTTTCGTGTACTTCTTTACCATTGAGCTAACTATGGATGATGTTGTGTGTTTTACAATCCTTACAAGTAGACATTACTGTAACTCGATGGAGACGGGACAGGGAAATTAAGACATTTAACAGTCTGCTTACATGTAGATAGTCATGGCACTGTGTTGATGCTCGAACGGCACACTAAAAATTCCGGATGACAACGTGAATGGGAACGTAAACAGTTAGACGCATGACCGTGTCAGTAAATATTATGCCAACAATACGTGAAAAACCTAGAAGCTTTCAAACGCCTTAATTAAGAGGCAGCGTTAGGCAGCGTGTCAGGGTCAGCTTGAAGAAACGAGGCTAATATTATGCACAGCGGTAATTCCTTCTTTCAGTACAATGCAGGTGTTGCCATTAGTATTTGGTACTTTACGGCGCTTTGTAGCATTTTTGTTTGTATGCTTGTGTACTGAATAACGAAAGAAGCCATTAATACCATATTTATGATTGGATGGTGGTGTGGTGTGGCGGTGCTGTCACTACTTCGGCCAGCAGGAGTTTAGTGACGTCACGTTCTACCAATAATGCGCAGATGTCAGCGCACCCATCAGTCGCTAGGTGGCGTCGCTTAACTGTTAGCCTCGACAGCCGTCTCCGGGCGACTTGAGGTATCAAATTCTAAAACGCCACCTACAGGAATATCGCTCACCAGATTAGCAACTTTTTTAGAGATCAGAAGCGCCATGAACACACAGCGACCAACCACAACACTGCAGCTATGACATTCCGAATGACACTCTAATGGTATAATATTGTAGTTCTACAAACCTTACACATACTAGTACCCCCCGTAGTTTATCGTAAAATATGGTTATGTCCAGTTACAGATTAGCCTACGATGTCATAATTGCTTACATCATAACTACGTACAACTTCCTACATCATACACCGGATTCGACTTGTGTACGTCACAGATAACTGTCGACGGCCCCCAACAATTGTCGATAGTGGCGCGGTTGTTCACGTTGTGTTGGAAGTTGTTGGAAATTACGAAGGCTAATCTTAACTTTGAACATTTCACCCTGATACTGGATATGAATGACGAACCACGCCATGAGATGCTTCTGTGTGTAGTCCTGGTAGAAAAGAACTTTAAATTCAACTCTGTGTTATAATATAATGTTTTAGTTTATTCGTAAACTGCATAAAAGTGCATTGGTTATTTACAGCTCAATAACTTTCGGGGTCTTAGTGACAGAACGTAGAAAATCGCGTCACACTTAAGGTGCGCAGTGACTGTCTGGCTCCAGACGTGACCTGACGTGAAGCTGTGCACCTGTCTCGCCCAGACAACACCTGTTTGTGACAGGTTCATCTTCTCACCTGTGTGAAGCCCACCAGGTGAACTTGTGAGAGAATAGCGGGGAGGAGCAGCGTCCAACCCGGCTGGCAACTCCCATTTACCGGCCGGACCCCCTCCGGCCATGGCGCCTGGACACAGTAGGGGAAACAATAACACATTTAATGGCTCTCTTTAAAAAAAAAGAGAATTACGAATGAAATTTTGCGTTAAAACACATCAAATCAGTCAATATTTTTCTGTTTCCAATCAAATTCGTAAAAGTCACTATTTTCTACGTGACTATATTTGGACAATTTGATTGTCACAGCCTCGACTAGAAGTTAAGAAATTTACGTCAAACGAAAGAAGGAATTGAAATGAAAGGAACATCGTATACCTTACTTTATTACATACTAGTATATTCCATTTTACAATGATGTTACGAATGAGCACCATCTTGAATGACAAGAAAAAACATTACAGTTCAAACAGAGGCAAGTTGAAATACTGCTACACCACAACATGCGGGACGCGATGACATTAATCAATATGTCATCCAAGTTGGCTGAGTTCCAATCGCTTCAGCTAATGTGAACGTGTAAATGAAGAATAATAAAGCGTCGATATTGATTGAAGCTTTGTTGGATTAAAAAAATACGTATGGTCAACTATGAAATAGAAATACAAAATAAATCTTCTACTAGTACTAAACAATACGGGCTAACATACAAGTAGAAGCAAGTACTAAGGGCTGACATACTTGTAAGAAAATCTACAAATGGTTCATATTAGGCTCCTTGTTTAGAAACGTTTAGCAATTTGTCGTACACTGTAACCGTTACAATTGTTGTGCAATAAAGTTTGATTTTTGTTTTTAACAAAAAGTGAAGACCGTGATCGCTAGACCACTGTCTGGTGAAGACAACTCATGTTGTTGGTGGCACGCCCAGCCCACGAGCACAGTTCACGGCAGGAGAACACACGTGACAATGGCACCTGGGGTACAAGTACAATTCACCATTGTTAGGATCGGAATGGCCCTTTCTTTGCACAGATGGTTTGTTGGTTTAATGACTATGGCCCCGAGGTCTGAGATAATGAGATCGATTGGTGCACTTGAATCACAAAGGCGTCAGGGCGGCGTGAAAACCACTGCACGCGTCCTTCGCCTCTCCTACATGTCATAGATTTATGCATTTGAGATGAAGAATGCGAATAAGGGCCTGGTCACATCCGTCGTATAATCGTTGTACGATTGCAAAAAATGATACCATTTTAGGGCAACCATGCATATATCCTGCAAAATTCAGCTATCTCGTTTACGGAAAAGGCTGCCTTAGCCTTAGGTCCTTGTTGGCACGCAGTTGGCTCTGTCACGGCCTGTTTGAAAATTCTAAGGCATCAATATCGTACGACAGCTCGCCTGGTAATATCCCATAACCCCGGCATAGGCATGTTTGACCGGCTCAGTCGACTCAGAACTTGCTTCTTTTTTTTCTGAGTGACAGCCTATCTTTCTCATTTCATACGTCCAGAAGATAATACAATGATACAAAACTGGCATTTTACAATAGTGTGGTTTTCGTCTGGGCGGATTCAGATGGTATTTATGGCGGTGTGACCTTACGATGGTCTCTGCATACAATTCTGTACTTTACTGTTATCGTGTTGAAAAATTCTCTGCTTTTTATCATGGTGCACGCGATAAATGTATGTTGACACACTGAGCCCTTAGGGGGACCCATTATGAACTTATTTTGGACGGAAATCACATATCAGCAGTCATCCACCGGCATTTTTGTGGGTAATAAATCGCGAATGTACATAATAAGCACACCATTTCAATCATTGTAACCACCACCACCCGTGTTACAGTTTCACCACTCATAAATACATGACTGATTGTACTAGAACTGCAACCAATTTAAACTTTTCGCTGCTCCTTTTCCAGATTGCCCTTGTTTACTAACTGGCTGAGGGGTGTGTGAGGCAGAGACGTATGTCTGGTTTGAACAGAGAAGTTTATAACGAACTTTCTTCACACCTGTATAAGGCCCGGCAGGTAACATGGGAGGGGGGATAATTAGTTCTAAGCAGTGTAGAGTCGGTGACCCCGCGCTTAGTTAATGGATCATAATTATGCTCCTTTGTTAAACAGGAAAATGCATGGTTGGTTCCCAAGAATCTTTTAAACGTTTTTTTTTAAATCCCCTACCTATACTCGAATAGATTTCGGGATAAGCTGCTTTCTGTTTCGTTTGTAGATAAATTTGTCAGAAATGATAATACATGTATAACATATATTTCATGATCATAGTACAATTTTTCACAATTGTAGAGGTGACTGTTGAATTTTTTAATCGTCAATTTTGATTTCGAACATTTATACCACATCTAGACGTGACTTGACGTGAAGCTGTGCACCTGTCTCGCCCAGACAACACCTGTTTGTGGCAGGTTCATCTTCTCACCTGTGTGAAGCCCACCAGGTGAACTTGTGGGAGAATAGCGGGGAGGAGCAGCGTCCGACCCGGCTGGCAACTCCCATTTACCGGCCGGACCCCCTCCGGCCATGGCGCCTGGACACAGTAGGGGAAACATCTAGTCGGGCATTTCTTGCCATAATGACTGGGGACATAATGCATATAGCGTATAGTGAAGAAAATTGACAAAACATTTATTACACTCCAGCACTAAGCAAAGTTGCAAAGTAAACCATTGACATACATCTAATGTTCTTGCACATACAGCATATACAATACCTTTACGGCATAAAAATTTGTGAAACAAATTGACTTGTGATATGATACAGAGGACTATAAAATACAATGTAGCTCCCACATGACCTCATTGTAAAAAGAGAGAAGAAGCCATTGGAGCTTAGATTCATACTTCTTTATGTAGTTTTTAGCATACCTTAGACCTGATGTAAGCCTTTTATTATTGTTGGAATTTCTTTCTAGTACATTGTACATCCATGCATTTATCCCCCGGGGAATGAACATGCAATAAAAATTTTGCGACGAACAATTCTAAGCTAGTAGCTAATTTTCTACTGCAAAGTACTAGTACATTTTTGTACTAAGTAGTCTTCAAGTACAACAATCACACTGAAAGAAGTTTGCAGCGAGACGCCTGTCTCGGTAAGACAAGTTGAGTTTGTGACACCCCCTCCCACCCGGCAGGAGCGTGCCCATGACAATGGCAGTCGCCCTGCAGGTTCTATTCAAACCACAAAGCCGTTACACCACACCCACGGCGGGCTACTGTTCCACGGGCGTTAGTCCAGATGGTTTGTTGGTTTTAGCGACAAAAACCCCGAGGCAAAAGCTAATGAGATCAATTACACGCACGTGAATGAGAAAGACGTCAAGGTGGCGAGAAGACAACAAGACCACGAGACTTTTGGCTTCTTCTTTTTGTTTCATTTTCATCCTGGGGTTGTTTCCATACCCACTCCCAAAGCCGACAAGAATTGTCTGCATTTTAAGAATACTGGGTTGAAAAGTCAAGAAAGTAACAGTCTGAAATTTGGATAACGGAACATCAATAAGCGATCGACATTGTTGCTGCACCAATATTACAATAACGAATAAAGATAAAGCAAAAAAAATGATCTAGAAGTTTCTGAGGGTCTGTGGTCTGCTTGACATGCTACTACACGGGGCTGGCGCAAATTGCATGCTAGCAACTATTGAATGAGGATGAAAAGTTATTCCTTTTTTGTTATTTTTCATGATAACGGTAATTCATCAGCATCTGGGTGCTAATGAAATGTTAGGAATTGTCTGGAGGAAAGTGAGAACTGGATGTCACTAGTTGAAGACAACATTTTTTCTCACGCCCTGAAAACTTCGCCAAGACAACACGATATCCAGGAACTTCGCCAGGGGCCAGATAGACACTTTCTTCTATACAACTGTGAAAGCGCGTATA